AGCAGGATAATGCACCTGTCACACAAACTGTTCAGGAAAGGTTTGAGGAACATGACGAAGAGTTCAAGATGTTGACTTGGCATCCAAAGACTCCACATCTCAGTCCAATCAAGCATCTGTGGGATGTGCTGGACAAAGAAGTCTGAACCATGGAGGCCCCATCTCGCAGCTTTCAGGACTTAAAGGATTTGCATGTCTTGGTACCAAATACCAGAGGACACCTTCAGGTATCTTGTGAAGTCATGCGTTTTGGCGGCAAAAAGGGGACCTACGCAATATTAGGCAGGTGGTCATAATGTTAAGGGTGACTGGTGCACGTGCACACACGTGCATGCATACAGTACTGAAAACTAGCCTGGACATACACTACATACACCGGGGTTCATAGGAGCACGTACATACAAACACACTGACACAAACATTCTTAAAGGGGTGAATGGTCCCAGGGCAGAGATCCTGACTCCCAGGCTGATTTGTCTCTAAACCATCTGTCACCATCTGAGCCTCCACAGGTATTTCCCGTTGTGTACAACAACAACAACTCAACACACACACACACACACACACACACACACACACACACACACACACACACACACACACACACACTTTACTGAAACCTACCCCATGCTACAGTTAAACAGGGACTTTGTGCAGGTGTGTGTGTCAGTGTTTGTATATTGTCTATTTTTGGTTCCTAACTAAATGTCAAAGCTCTGCAGCAGCATGATGCATTCATGTGTTTTCAAAATTTTGTATCCTTGTACTGTAATTTAGAAGTGTGATTTACTGTTGAGAAGCAAAGCATACACTCATGTAAAAATATGCTGATACATTTCATACATAAATTAAAATGCAACATGAAAAGGACACAAATTATTGCTGATAAACAAGGTGAAGGAGAGATAAGGTCCCCTTCTTCAACTGCGGCTGATTTAATTAAAAGGTCAAATGTTTTAGAGTCAAAGAACAAAATATAATTTTGATGAGCAGATCCCTTTCCCAGTGCTGCATTATTTGTTTGATTGACAGAAGCTGTGAAAGAAAATTGTGAAATCAATTTTGCTTCTGCATCCTCATTAATAGTGTGTTCGTCCTCTTGTTGTCCCTCACCTCTTTTGTCCTACCCTGCCTGCTCTGTTCTGTCCCATTTGCATTCAGTTGTTCTCTCCAGTCACTGTTCCTTCAGATGATTTAATTGGCCCAAAAACCGTTTCCACAGACACGCACTTCACCTTCTATTGCCTGTAGATGTATTTGTATAATAGTAAACAACTTCATAAGAAGCATTTGCACATGGTTTACAACGCACTGATCAATAGAGTAACATTCCTCGCTCAAATCATATTTAAAGACTTGAAATGATCAACATGCTTCTGCATGTTAAATCACAGCTCTAAGGATGAATATATCTTATCTTAGTCTTCTGAAATTTTCATTTCAACCCATTAGCAAACCCATTAAATCACAGTTCTTACCTGGGAACAAACCGATGGCTTCTTTCAGCCAATTACATTGCTCTGGATAAGTCATGGCGAGACAGTTCAGGACAATCAGCGCCTCCTCATATGTGCTTTGATGTCAGTTGTACTCCTGATAAATCCATTATGTGCCTCAATTTTCTTTCAGCAAAACATGTACAATGACTCCCCTGCCTGAACCATGACTGCTGAATTATAAGCCAATGATTCCCTAGAGGAGCAAATAGACAAATCAGATTCAGGACCCTCTGCAACCCCCCAGCGAGCTGCTGCTACTACTACTGCTTGCCTGCTGCTGCTGCTATGACTCTCCCTGCCTGCACGCTCTGATAACTCCCAATGTGAGATGCAGGACACAAAAAAGTGCCTACACCAGCAGCCCGAGACAAGGCACAGCCAGGCAGCTTAAGCCCAGACCCATCCCATTTCACTGTCATTGTTTGTCTAAATGGCCGTGATAGACTGGCGACCTGTCCATGGTGTACCCCGCCTCTTGCCCAATGTCAGCTGGGATTGGTTCCAAACCCCCTGCAATCCTATTGAGGAATAAGCGGTACAGATAACGGATGGATGGATGTTTGTCTAAATGGATTTGACCAGCCACATCCCAAACTGAGCACCCTCTGACCTTTACTGTCCTCCTCCCACTTGTCGGTCTGTCAACAGAACCACAAAAACAACAGAGTCTAAATGTCCTCTGTATTTCCACAACCCACAGGATGCTGTTTGTGTCCTGGCTGCCCTGTCAAACACACACACACAAAACTGTCTCCCAGTGATGCCAGTATGTGTGAATATCAACTTTGGTGTCAAGAGCTGCACCACCAGGCACCTGATCAGCGCCTCTTTCACAAGGCAAATCACAGAGAGGCAGACAGATAGTGTGACAGAGGAGATAAGATGGAAGAAGGAGAAAAAACCAGTCAGAGGCCGTGACAGTTTGGCCATTTGCCAATGCCAAGGAGACATTCATTGGTAGCAGCCACAGACGGGCCTTGGCTCAGGGGCAAACATGCACACACTCACACAAGCAGTGAAGGGCTGTCAGGATCACTTTACACAGAATTTTCTGTCATAGACAGAGGGAGAGAATTTGTGAGTCAAGGTAGTCAGAATCAGAATGAGCTTTAATCCCAAGTGTGTTGAGCACAGAAAAATTCGTCTTCGGGCACAGAGGCTCTCAGTTTGTTTTAAGCAACAGACAACAGACAATAGAACAGTATAATCAATGGTAGGGAGGTGTGGGAGAAGGATGAGAGGCAGTATTCATAAACATATACATATATACACATTTTGACTGGTGCATGTAGTGGTACTATTTCCAATTATTGCACTGTGTTGGTTGCTGAGTCCTGTTGCTTCAGTCATAGTTAGCTTTTAATCAAAGTGATGATCTGGGGGAAGAAACTGTCCTTGTGTCTGGTTGTCTTGACATACAGTGACCTGTAGCACCATCCAGAGGGGAGGGGTTCAAACAGTTCATGTCCAGGATGTCAGGGGTCGGCAGAAATCCTCTCCCACCCTCCTTTTGACCTGTGAGGTGTACAGGTCGTCTATGGAGGGCAGGCTGGCACCGACGATTCTTTCTGCAGTCCTGACTGTCCACTGGAGTCTGTTCCTGTCCTGTTTGGTTGCTGAACCAAACCAGACAGCAGTGGATGAGCAGAGAACAGACTCAGTGATTCCTCTGTAGAGCTGTATCAGCAGCTCCTGGGGCAGGTTGAACTTCCTGAGCTGGTGCAGGAAGTACATCCTCTGCTGTGCATTCTTGGTGATGGTCCTGATGTTGGACGTCCACTTCAGGTCCCAGGAGAGAGTGGAGCCCAGGAAAGTCTTTAGGCCTGTGTTTTGGTTAAAAGACCTCTGCAGCACACACACCCCACAAATACTACTGGACATAAACACACATACCACCTTCAAGGGACTTATCCAGTCTCTCTCTCTCTCTCAGTCAAAAACAAACACACATGCAGAGGAGTAACGTAAGTGCTCTGGAGGTAAGGAGCTACAGACTAAACAGAGAAAGAGACAACTAGAATTACAGCAGTAGAGGATGATTTGGCTATGCTAACTACCCCATACTTTAAAAGTATCAATACAGCACCCTCCACATGGCTAATGAGCAGCTACATCATAACTGTCAGAGGATGAATGCTTGTTAGTGAGATAAATTACCACTCCTGCAAAGTAGTTTAGTGAAAAGTACATGCTGTTATTCTTTGGCAGTATAATGTTTCATAATATCAAAATCACTGCATAAGACAGTCAGAGAAATTGTGAGAAGGAGATACTGGTTCTGATACTTCTTAAAGTTTCTCACTGAGCCTTCTATATAGGTGGAAAGGTGCTGCTGTCTCCCTATGTGGTAACCTAATGTATGAATATAGCAGGGAAAGGGTGGCTCTGGGAGGTACTGAGAGATCAGGAGCATTATCTAAATGAGATCTCTGCAGCCCTTAGGAAAGAACAGTATGTGTCACTGTCTAAGAGAGAGTGTGTGCATGTGTGACATGTTTACTGTATGTGTGCAGCTGTGTGTCCTGATTTTAGGAGCACATTAAAGCAAAGGGTGACCTAAAACCAAATCTTTTATGGTGTGCATCTTTTTATTTTATGTGCATCTAAGTTGAAATCTCACTGAAAAAAATGCACAGGGTTTTAGTATTTCTGCCTTTTGAATAATGTGTAATGAAATTTTACATCACTTTAGAGGCCAGGAATGATGACAGACTGACAGATGATGTCTATTCATTTTCTGCCACTTATTCTAGTCTAGGTATTCTACTGCAGCTGGGCTATTCATGATTTGTGCATCCACCATGTCCGCTGTAGGCCAGTGATGGAACTTTCATCATCCTCCCAGGTCATCCTATTCCTCAGCTATATCCTACAGCTTTTCATGAGGCTAACCCAAGCTAGAAGGGGCATGCTGTCCCTCTGGCATGTTCCGGGTCTGCTTCCAGTTAGTGGTGCCTGAAATTCTATCACGGAGTCCTAAACATTTCATTAAAGTTATATCATAACCATATCACATAGAACCTCAAGGTCCAGTCCTGTACAACTTGTGCAGACTCCACTGACTTTTACTTCAAAATAAATTGCAATTTTCTTCAGCACACTACCCTGAAACATAATGCAGCTAACGGGCATCTATTAGTGACATAAGTGTTTCAATCCTCCAGTGAAGTACTGTTTCCCTGCAACCCACCATTTCTCAGTCCAACTATCAACACTACGAAGCACGTGAAATGAAGGCTCTGCTATATTGGTGTAGGTTTCAGTGCCCCAGAACATCTGGATGCAGACAGCATCCACATTCAAACTGAAGAGACAAATGTTTCTTTTTACAGAACTGAGAGCAGTCTCTTCAAAACTTGTCATTTCAGTGAGAAGCAGCCAGACATGTAGGGAATGTCTGGCAACGCTGCAGGGCGCTCTGTGACTATTTATTTATGTCAGTTTCTGGGTAAGTGTGTGTTGATGTCTGTGTGACAGTCAGCTACCGATGCCCAATGAGCCACAGCCTTAGTGAATACATTTCTATGCTAGATCACTTAAAATGCTGTACGTGAATGAATAGAATCAAAATCAAATCAAATCAAATTTTATTTGTATAGCACCAAATCACAACAAAAGTCATCTCAGGACACTTTACAAAGTAAGGTCTAGACCTTACTGTTATCAATATTGTTACATAGGGAAAACCCAACAAATCCCCCTTGAGCAAGCACTTGGCGACAGTGGGGAGGAAAAACTCCCTTTAACGGAAGAAACCTCCAACAGACCCCGGCTCTTGGTGGG